ATGGCCGCTCACCCCACGGCTGCTCACCCCACGGCTCAGCTGAGGGCTCGAGAACAGCCTGCGGCCAACCTGGGTACGTGTTCTCACAGCCCTTGATGATGGAGAGATGCTGTCTCCCTGAAAATCCTCCCCAGCCCTCCGTTTGCCCCGCTCGCTCCCTGCCCTCCTCCGCACACCCTCTCCTTGGGCACTGCTGAAGGCTCTGAAGGAGTGCTCCCAGGAGGGGGGAAGAAGGGAGCTCTCCTCTCACCTTGGCAGCCCGTCCGTGTCACTCATTCTCTTCATCCTGTCCAGCATCTTCTGCGTGGGACCCCCTCCTCCATCTCCAAAGCCGAAGAGGAGGGCGCTGTGGTTCACCCGCCCTTTGTCCTTGTTGTTCTTCACTGTTTTCAACACCTAGAGGGGATCATCAGCTGCAATCCCCTGGTGCCCAGCCCCAGCTCCCACAGCTCCCCACAAGAAAGCCGGGTCAGCTTTTGGGGTGCAAAACCCGGTTCTGCCCCTCTTCCTCAGCCCAAACTACCAAAAATCAGGCCCAGACACATCTCAGAGGCAGGCAATTTGCTGCCAGGCCCTCCAACAGCCCTTGCCCAGCAGCGCTGCCAGCTGCCCTGCTCCCTTCCCAGGCAGTGCCCTCTCCCAGGAGCCTCACATCCGGCACTGCACTTCACGTGCAGGTCAGGAAGCCTCACTCACCTCCTCCACTCGCCCGTGCATCCCATAGGAGTCACCGGGGGGAAAATGGGTCAGGACTCGGGAACCATCAATGCCTTCCCAGAAAAAGGTGTGATGCTGGAGGGGAGCCAAAGGAAAGCATGGTGTCTCATACAGCCCCCCCTGTGTCACACAGTGCCAAAGGCTAAAGCGCAGCCCTCTTGTTGCCAGGAGTTCCCAAAAGGAAATCTCTGGCCATGCTGGTACCAGAAAGAGAAATTCACCCCCAGTTCACTGTTTCAAGGCTCCCAAACTCATCTCCTACGCCAGTGTGTGCACGGAGGGCACGCTTCCACCACATCAGTGCACAACTCGCGCACTAAAAGCCCAAGCTGCCGTGCAACCCTGTCAGGCACACAAAGCCCGGCAGCTTTGTCACCAGGGAAGTACACATGGGACAGGCACTTCAGAGCCCCTTGAGGATTCCAACTGGGCCTTGGCTTTCTCTCCACGGGGCTGCAGGATGCCCTGACAGATCAGTGCAAGGAGACGGTCGCACAAGGACGGGGAATGCCACAAGGTCAGAGGACAGCCATGGACAGGCTGGGTTGTGTGCAGGTCTAAGAGACAACAAAGTCACAGCTTCCCATCTGGAAGCAGAGGGAAATTGTAGGCCAGGGGCCCAGCTGGGATCTCCAACCATGTCCTTCCTACCCCCTAAAGCCTGACAGGACATTGCTACCACCATAAACTGGTGGTTTCTAGAAGAGCCTGTGTCAGCTGAGCTGAAAGAATGGCTCAGCCTGTGGAACCACCAGGTCCAGCCCTGCAGAAGGACTTCAGCAATGACAGTTCCACCCCCTGGAAAGAAGGGAAGCACCAGCTCACCGGGAAGGCGTTCACCAAGTTCCAGCTGAGTTTCTGCGTGAGGAACCGCCTGATCCCGCAGCCGAGCATCAGCTGGGGCAGCTGGGCCGAGTATCCAAACGTGTCCGGCAGCCAGAACTGGGCAACAGCAGCGGAAGGAGAGACAGGCGTGAGGCAAACCGGCCGCAAGCTGCAGCCTGAGCTGCGGAGGGTGTCTGGGCTCCGAGCCCTTCTCGCAGCGGGAACTGAAGGCATGCTAGGCAAGGAACAATTCTAGAGACCTGCCAGGGACCTACAGGCAATATAACCGAGAGCTGGGGCTGTGCTAACTGCCGGGAGTTGTGGGGGATGGGGTGTTTACTCATCACAGCTTTAGCTACAATGAGAGGCCAGTGTGAGGCACCTGAACATCACATCTGGAAGGCAAACCAGAAAGAAGCCCTCCCGCACGGCAAGAGGCGGAAGGAGATGGTGCGGAAGGAAGGTGTGCTGGAAAGGAGCAAGTACCTCTGAGCAGATCCGGCCAAACTGCTGCTGGAAGAACCGCTGTCCCTGGAGGAACTGCCGCACCATGGACTCCCCGCTGGGCAGGTTCCCGTCCTGGGGGGAAGACAGAGGGAGTCCGTGCAGCAGCCAGGCGCCTGGGAAGGTCTTGCCAGCATCCCCACCCCCTGGCATCCTGACCCGACCGATCACGGGAGGATCTGAGCAGAGCTCAGCCAGACCAGACCCAAGCTCCTTTCTCAGGGAATGAGAGGATTTGGGGGAGGGATGGTATTTTTGTTAGGCTAGGCACTGCAGGCAGCTGCTATTTTCTGGGCCCAAGAGCATCATCAACCAGGCTCAGCCAAGGCTCTGCTCTCCACCTCCTTTGCAGGACCAGTCCCTGAGGGAAGGTGCAGTGAGCCAGGCTCGCCACGCTTCTCACCATTTCCACCCAGGTGCCTCCGACAGGAATGAACTGTCCCTTTGCCACGAAGTCCCGAATCTGCGCGTAGAGCCCGGGGTACCAGCTCCGCACCCACTCGTACTGCTGCGCCTGCCACAGCACAGAGTCAGCCTCAGCACTCCCCACATCACTCCACACCGATGGCCCTCCTGTCCATCGTCGCGCAGGCTGGTCCCAGTCCCCCCCTCCCCATCTCGTTCTGAGCCACAGTGGAGAAGCAGCGAGCCACAAGCAGAAGGAGAGCTCCCCAGAGGGAGATTGCTCACCTGGGAGCAGGCGAAGGTGAGCTGCGGATTGCGCTCCATCAGACGGACCACGGTGACCCAGCTCCGAGCACACTTACGGATGGTCTCCTCGTATGGCCACAGCCAGGCTGCGGGGACAGGCACGGCCCCACGGGGGTTATTGCTCAGCACAAGCTCCTCTGGGAACTGGGCTGTGCTGCCTTTCACAGATCAGCCAGGGAAAACAGTAGAGCAAAATGCTGTCCTGTGGCTGACAGCAGCACAGCCTGGGGGCTCCAACTCCCGCTTCTCTTGCTGCCTTTCTGTTGAGACTGCAACCCCTCCAGGGACTGGAAATGGAGTGGTGAAGGCCAACAGGTGGTCTGCAATCCCTCCCTCATCACCAGCCCCATCAGTGCCCCAAAAAGCACAGCTAGCCAGACGCACGTTCCCCTGCCTTGCAGACCAACCAGCTGATGGCAACAGAGAGGTCCCTTTCCCTTCCGTCGGGGCACAGTACTTGGTGCCTGGAGCACAAAGGCAGCACTCCCCTTGGGCAGCACATTCCGGCCTCCAGGACAGCAGAGAGGGAACACTGTGCTGCTCTCACCAGAGTCGATGTGGCAATGACCGATGGCATGGATGGTGTGCTGGCTCTCGCCATTCCTCTGGCTGAAGATTGCCGCAGCCAGGTCACGGGCAGCAGGGAAGGTGGATGGGTCCATAACATCACACACATTGACCATCTGGTTGGCAGTGTACAGTGCCTGGAAACTCCTCTGGTTTTCCTCCCCGAGGAGCTGGGGTTGGGAACGATAACAGCTTGAATCAGAGCAGCTCTCTGTACTAGCTCAGATGCCACCGACCTCAGGGAGAACCTGCTATTTCTTTCCAACACCTGACTCTGCCAGTGGTGCCAGGTAAACACCGTGTCCCTGCTTCACAGGCACAGCTTTATGTCTTTGCTCATGTGCCTTCTAATGCCAGGCTACACATAGGCCCATCCCTGGGGGCTCTGGCCTCACAGATCCTGCCTTGGAGCAGAAAGTGGATGAAGAATCCACCTGTGGCTTCTCTCCGTTTAGTTTTCTCCTACTCTAGACAACATCAATCATGCTAAAGCAGCAGGAGCAAACATTTGCTCCTCCAGGGCCTTATGGGGATAGGAGATAGGTCACAGGATGGTGGGAGAAGAAGATTAAATGTTATGGAAGGAGGTGGAAAGGATGAAAGGGGAGAAAATGAGCTCACAGACCTGGGCCATGTCCAGCAGTATTTCCAGATCCACCAGCAGTTCATAGACATCCCTGTTGAAGACTACCAGCTCAGCCTTGCTCAGGTTAAACCTCCTGTCAGGGTCTGGAGGGGCAATCATACTGCCCTTGCCGGCCCCGAAGAGACCGTTGCAGGCCAGCTCCACATACAGCGTCAAGCTGGAGAGCAAACGGAAACCATCAGGGAGCAGACTACAGGCCATCAGCTGGGAAAGCACATTCCCCTCCCTGTGGTGGGACCAGCCTCACCTGAACAACAGACAGAGCCCCAGAATGCCAGATGCTTCACAGAGCACCCAGATGCAGACGAGGGTCTCTCAGCCCAGTCCCTCGGTTTCACACAATGCCAAGCTCCCCCAGGGGCGGGGGGCTCCGGCCAGGCTGCCACTCACCTATGCGGCTCTGTCTCTTTCAGGCTGCTGGTCAGGATGTAGCTGGTCTTCTCGCCTTCCTTCGTCAAACCCTGTGGGCGAAGATGGCACAATTAACACACGTCCGTTACAGCGGGCTGGATGGGCAGGACAAGACACTTCCAGCTGTGCCGTGGGACAATGCTTCCCACAAGAACAGCCGGCTTGGAAACTGCTGCTGCCCCAGCAGTAACACAATCCCTGTGGACACCACCACAGAACAGGGCAGGGCTGCAAAAGATCACCTCAGCCATTCCACCTCCCACAGCAGGCCTGAAGGTGACACGTGTGACAAGAGCTGTTCTTGACAGCAGCGGAGATTCACATCCCAAGCCCACTGCTTGCCTATCCTTCTTCCAAGACAGACTTGGTAACGCCCAAGCAAGGGATTTTCAGCTGCTACTTGTTTGCAGACTGGACTTTTAACTCCCTGGCTAGGGGCAACCTCTAGAAAACAGGCTCAAACCCACCAGCAACAGGCTTGCTTTTCTGGGCCAAGCTTTGGAAACGGCCCGCAGACCCTTTGCGGTCTGACAGCACAGCATGCAACCCACAAGCACAGCCCCCTCTCTCACTCCACGCATTAGACTCTAACACTGACTTCTCTGCACAGCAGTTTTTCCCATACGCAAAGACAGCTCTCCTATTGCCTCAGAGATCACCACTCGAGGTTAAACAGCTCTGCAACCACACATCCTCCTCCTGTTTCTCTTCATGACCACTCTGTCTAGATCTCCAAATGTTCTTGGGTCTCTCCTGTTGGTCCACGTGTTATTTCACATCCTCCAACACATGTAGGCATTCCTCTGAAGAGTGCTTAACAAACAGGAGGGGCTTTCTTCTACTGCCCCACCGCAGAGGGCTAAGGGAGAAAACCACCCTGTACGTAACGGAGAGCCTGGCACAACCCTGACCCACGGTCCCTCACCTGGACAGGCTGGCCGTCTCGCCACAGCATGCCCTCCCCATCGCTCTCCCAGACGAAGTGCACTTCCCGCTCTGCCCATGCCGGGGGGATGGTCAGCTCCACCTTAAACCAGCACGTCTCCCACCTGGAAAAGAGCAGACGGCAACCTCAGCCCACCGATGTGACCTTCCCCTGAGGGAAGCCACGCTTCCTCAGAGCCTCCATGGAAAAAGCAGAGTGGGGACTGCACACAACGCCTCGGGCAGGCTTGTGAAGGAGGCACGGCAGCCTCAGTGGGCAAGGAAGCTCAGAAGGCAGCACACAAACCCCGTGGTGCTGGCCCCAACACAGCCTCTCCCGGGACCCCAGAGAAATGGCCAGTAGCACTGTGTGTTTGCTGCTGGGAAAACTTCCCAATCTTGTCCTAGCCCTGTCAAAGCGGACAGATCCCAGGCAGGAGCATCAGTCACAACCATGTCTAGGAACAGGAGCTCTCAGCAGGACGGATGGGTTGGAAACTGACACATCCCGGTCTGTTTCCTCATGAAATCTCCCTAAGGAATTCTAGGCAGGCACCTGCTACCTAAAGCAGGAAACAGGGAGGCGGACTGTCATCTGATTTCTCCACTACCGAGAGCTTGTGAGGATTCAGGTACACACCTAACACCAAAGAGTCGAGCTCCAGCCCCACCACGCTCACCGTAGCGCGGAAACCTGGTACTCACGTGGGCCCAAAGGAGTCTCCCACTTTAGCTGGTCTGAATTCCTGCCCGACAGCCTCGTCGTACGGGATGCGCCCTGGGGTCTGGAAGCAGGAGAGCGATGCTGGCGGACAGCGATCCCCGAAGAGCCTGTGGTCAGAGACGGCCGGGACACGAGCAGTGAGGCTGCAGGGCCCAGCATGGGGGGAGGAGGGGAGGAATAGAGACCACCACCCCGCTGTCCCAGCACGGCTGTCACCCCGCTACC